AAACGTGGCACATGTCTTGCGGCTTCGCGAACTTCGATTCCCGAGTGAAAGGTTTCGTCAGGTACCAGCGTGTCAATTTTTCAGCCCGAATTCCGCACAACACAACGGTTCAGTTTCATTGTGAACCCGTTGAAAGGACCTCGGGGTCTCTTGTTCAAGCCACCTGCTTGGATGGGAAGTGGACAGGGAACGTCGAGGTGCCTCCAAAGTGCGACCTATCGACGGAAGATCCCACCGTTAAAATTTCAGGTGCCGAGTATGAAGTGGGCCCAAACGCCTTCCTTCACGTGAAACCCTTGCAATGGATACGCGTTGAATGCAAAATAAAAGAAGGATCGTCGCACTGGGAAGTTCTTGTATCTAATTGGAAAGGCAAGTACCTGAAATCAGAAATTATCTACTTGTATTTTTTCGTCTAATATACTTATTTTCTGCTCTGTTACAGGAGAAAAAAACAGCAGCGTGTTTGAAAAGTCCGTCATGGTTTTTTATATTGAACGGAAATTTTATGTATTCAACTGCCGTGTCAACGAGGTTATAAGGAGAAGTATTCTTGTGAGAGGAAGTGGTGAGTGCTCCTGTCGCACCGGTGTGTTCCTGGCTTGGCGATGGCCTACCAAAAAATACATATCTTTCTGCGTTAAACCTCATTAATCGATAGCTCATGTTGAAGATCAGGCTTCAATAGCGTCTATCATGGAAAAAAAAAACTTGGAATGAACTTAACAAATTAGGCGTGGAAGCTTGAGCTCACCACATGAAATCTACACTTGAGCTGAAGCAGCCAAATTACCTCGGCGCATACTGGCAAATACAGTGCGTGAGTGTGGAGGAAATGAGTATTGGCAAGTTTGTCCGTTCAACTGCAGCTTTGGCGTCCGTGCCGCTCGAGGAATTCTCGTAGACAGGGACGAAAATGCAATATTTATTATCAACATTAAGGCAGACATGAGCGCTTTTACAAAGAAATTGCCACGATTTCACGAATGAGTGTCTCTTTTATATAAACGAGTTATTTAATACACCGTGTGGCAATATATATTTAAACATATTTACTGTTCGCGGGAATTTCTAATTTGTCTGCTTTTCAACGTTGTTTTTCAGACCAGCGTTTTTGTACATATCCGTCTCTTGAGAACGGAGTGAAGGTCGTAAGACAGACAGATTCGGAGATGCGATTCGCTTGCAACGACAACTTGTTACTCAAAGGGCTCGAACTTATTCGCTGCTCTGAAGATGGTCAATGGGACAATCTACCGCCCCAATGCGTGGAGCCGAGAAGTAAGCAAAAGTGCTTCGTGCATTTTCTGTGCCAGGTTAGGGTTGAAAAAATAAGACATTTCGCCTGCTGTCCTTCATTTGCTCTTATTCACTGCAGGGGGTAAAACTTTTCACATTTTTTAAGAACTAGTAATGTTTGTTTTAGTAATTCGAGTGACCATGCTATTGGAAATAGCTTAATTTCTTAGTCCCTAACAAATATAGAAAGCAGAGGCCGTTTGTCCTACTTTCTTCTGCTCGCCCATACGCAGCCAAAGCCACAAGCGCGAGCTAGCGCACCTGGCTTTGAGACGTGTCTCTTGGGCGAGCGCTTGTTCTGCGGGAGAAGGCTTTAAGGCAGAAACCTCGAGGTTTGGCGCTTGTAGCCTTGGCTGCAATCGCAGCTGAAGTGTGAATGGAGTATAGTCTTAGTACACTGTAGCATAGTATTGGATTTTGTTCATGTTTTTTTAGGGTGCCTTAGGGTCCTTCTGTTTATATAGCGACTTAGTATATAAACATATGTGATCGACAACTGCATTTAGTATTACGTAGTTAAATACAAAATATTCAGTGTTTTAATCATATATTTGAAATACTGCCTCCGGAGAGCGCGTACGTGTCACACGTCCCACGTCTCACACGGCTTTTTTTTCTTCTTTATACCTTAACATTTTAGTTTCACTCAACTCCATAGTCTCTAGTCACCTTAATACAGCCCATCCCTCCACATTCTGCGAAACTGTTAACGCAAACACGCCATCGCCTTGAAAGTAAACATATTCGACAGATATCTGCCTGGTTGGGTGAGAGTTAAAGTCTGAAAATATATCTCCAACCAAAAAATGAAAGGCAACCCGACGTTTCAAAACCAACACGGTTTCTTCTTCAGGGGTGACTGAAGGCGCGCGGACACAGCAGCAGCTCCCAACCTCTTCGTCTTCAAAAAAGGAAAGAAAAGAAAGAGAAAAGGAAAAAATTAAAAAAGAGAAGTTAGGAAATTGGAAAAATTGTAAAATAACTTGTTAGTTATGAAGATGGTCATCTCTTCAGCTTTTTCCGTCAGGCCACGGAGGCCATGTGCGTACACAGAGGGCAGAGCGCCCAGCGACCTGTTTAGGTTTCCTGGCGTGTGCTGGATGTGCCACGATTCCAAGAAAAGTCTTCTTCGAAAATTGGGCTCTGTGTCCACCACGTGCGCGTTCGCGAAGTCAATGCGATGGTCTAGGGCAGGGGTGGCCAAACCGCGGCTCGCAAGCCGCATGCGGCTCTTTGCTGGTCCAACTGCGGCGCGCGGATCTCTCGTAAGGGGACACTCCCCCCCCCCCCCCCACCCCTTTCGCCCCTTTCCGCGTTTTCCCAGGAAAAAAAAGAGGATTTCAGAATAAAGCACACTGCAGCTTGCAGTTTGACAGCCTTGTACTCCCATACGTACAGTCGTACAGCCTTGTGCATCCATACGTACAGTCAGACTCTGAACAAAAGTTAAATTTGCCCCCCCCCCCCCCCCCCCCCCCCCGCGGCTCTTAGAAGTTCCGTGGTTTTGTTTGCGGCTCTTAGGCCAGGCCAGCCTGGCCACCCCTGGTCTAGGGTATCGCAATGTTCGGCGATGGCGCTGCGCTCACTGTCAAACTTCCGCACGTCGTTCTTGTGTTGGCGGATACGCTCGGGAAAGTTCTTCGTCTCGGCGATGTAGGTTGCGGGGCACTCTGCGCAAGGAATGGTGTAAACCACGCCCTGTGCTTTTTTCTTTTGGTGGACGGTCTTTCGGTCTTGGCATAAACCTTCCCAGTGTGGACGTGGGCTTGTGGGCCACCAGAATACCTTGCTTTCCCAGCACTCGTGCGAGCGCTTCGCTGGTTCCCTTTACGTAGGGAACGCTTATGCGCGCGACTCGATGGGGCTGTTGTTCTACTGGCATCTGGTTTTTGTCTGGAGAGACCCTGCCGTCGGGCGATGCGCTCAATAAAGCTACTAGAGTAACCATTTTTCTTTAGGTCTTCAATTATGGTCTTCTTCTCCTTCTTTCTATCGGTTTCCGACGAGCAGATAGTCGTTGCCCTACGCAGCAGGATCGAAACCACTGAGGCCTTATGACTCGTTGGATAGTTGGAGACAAAATCGAGGTAGCGTCGGGTGTGTGTTGGTTTTCGGTACACCGCAAACGTCAGATCTTGTCCTCGTCGGTTCACCAGCACATCAAGGAACGGCAAGGTGCCATCCGTCTCATATTCTACGGTAAATTTAATGGCCGGCTCGATAGAGTTGAGGTGTGCCAAAAAATTGTTCACGTCCCGTTCCTTGAGAATGCAGAAGCAATCATCTACATAGCGCATGAATACTTTGGGGCTGTTGGGAAAAGACCTCAGCGCTTTTTGCTCGATTGCATCCATCGTGAGGTTCGCCGTTGTGACCGAGATGGCCGCACCCATTGCAGTGCCACTGACCTGTTTGAGAAGCTCCCCTTTGAAGGTGAAGTATGTGCTGCTGATACAAAACTCGAGCAGACGGCACAGCTCCTCCACAGTGAGGTTGGTTATTGTGGTCTAGGAGCTGTCTTTTTCGAGGGCTTCGCGGGCTGCAGCAACTGCAAGGGGAACTGGGACACTTGTGAAGAGGGAGACCACGTCGAAGGATACCATGGTGTCACCATCGCTGAGATGTATTTGCGAGGCGCGTTCCACGAAGTGGCCAGCATTTTCTACATGGGTCGACGTGTTTCCGACGAGGGGAGCCAAAGTCCGGTGAAGATAACTGGATAGCGCCCGAAGCGGTAAGGTTGTAAAGTCCACAATAGGTCGTAGAGGCACGTTGGGTTTGTGGATCTTTGGAAGACCGTAAAAACCTGGAGCGGAGCCATTCCTGCAAATAAGTTGCAAGTAAAGGCTCTTTGACTGAGGGTATTTCTTGAAAATCTCTGCCAGGATTTTGTTCAAGTTCCTCTGAACCTGTTGCGTCGGATCTTTCTTGAGCTTTACATAAGCATGGCTTCCAAGAAGATCCCGTACCTTTTCCTCGTATTCCTTGGAATCGTGGCACATCCAGCACACGCCAGGAAACCTAAACAGGTCGCTGGGCGCTCTGCCCTCTGTGTACGCACATGGCCTCCGTGACCTGACGGAAAAGCGGAAGAGATTACCATCTTCATAACTAACAAGTTATTTTCCAATTTTTCCAATTTCCTAACTTCTCTTTTTTAATTTTCTCCTTTTCTCTTTCTTTCTTTTCTTTCCTTTTTTGAAGACGAAGAGGTTGGGAGCTGCTGCTGTGTCCGCGCGCCTTCAGTCACCCCTGAAGAAGAAACCGTGTTGGTTTTGAAACGTCGGGTTGCCTTTCATTTTTTTGGTTGGAGATATATTTTCAGACTTTAACGCCATCGCCTGATTTGTTTTTCTTCTTGTATTGAAGAACTACCATGGAAATAGAAACTGTTGAGTTTGAGGACTGACCTAAGAGTTAAATTTTGATGCCCGCCAATACCCCTTCGAATTGAAATTCAATAAAGCGCCGAAGTCGTGTTTGCCCTAACAGTTTCGTTCAGCGTACCAGAATTCCGGAACTCCGATGCGCCTTATCCTCCCGGTTCGTTGCCTTCGCTCATATTGACGCAAAGGAGGGGAAGGGTCTGAGACATTGATTTCGCGTTTCATATGAAGTCGCGAGGCGTACGCAGGCGATCACTGTGGCTTCTTATTGGACTTTGCGTTGTAAATATTAAATTAATTTACACACTAAAAAAAATGGCTGGAAACATGTTTAGTGCACCTTCAGAAGTAAATATAGCACTATTCAACCTTCATTTAGAGATGGTGCAGGGAAAGAAGAGTCTGGCGAACTGTCAACTGCTTAGCATGCAGCAATATGGAAGAACAGTCTGTGTGAGGTTGCATCAATTCGTTGGCTGATAGTCACCCATGATTAGCCACAAATAAATTACCCGCTATTTATCAAAATTTTGAACCTGTCAATCGACAAAGTGAGAAAGTTGACTTAGATGGCGTGTTATAATTTTCACTATTTAGTTCTGCCAAAAACGATGTCCCCAAGCTCGCATTGTGATGTTGCTTCAAGATCCCGCGTCAAGCATCGTATGAGTTCCTCTTATTTTTTCTAACTACAGAGGAACACACATGTGATGTGAATAGCTTCCTGAACCGTGTACCGCCTGAAGTCGTCATTGAAGCAAATACGTCGGAAGTTGCCGCCGGGACTGTCTATCACGCCTTCTGTAAGAACACCGGTTACATCTTCGATGGACAGAGCAGAGTTGTCTGCAACGCCGACGGCACGTGGGGTTTCGATCCAATCATGAGGTGTAAGTCCTCGATGCTTTTATTATCAACTTCACTCGTCGAAAAAAGCCTGTGCTTCGAAGTTTTGGCGAATTATTACTATAATTTTTACTGCGATAATAACCGCTCTGACTTCATGGTCAAAGTGCGAAAATGTAATTGAGCCGCAGCATGTAAGTTTCTTATTATAAACTTTGAAAAGTCTTCATCTCTTCGAAAGGCAACCTAGAAGAATAAAAGGAAACAACTATTTAATCCTTTAAAATAGCAATTGCTATAATTTCATTTTCGACGCCAGCTTAGAAAGGACGAGTAAAAAATCCACAGCAAATTGTAGAATAACTTTCAGTGTATTCGAAGCGTCTTAATTCGGTTCGGGCGCATATATTGATTATTTTTCAATATTTTTACTTTGATCATTTTAATCTACTGTTGATCTGAAGTAAATTAAAAGAGGTCCTTAAAAAAAATCGCCATCTGTTTTATAAACATTATATTTTTCTTAACCATTTTGTTCTTAGCCCGAGACTGAGGCGGGCTAAGAACAAAATGGTTAACATCCACCAGCTCGCCTGCGCAATCACTACATTATCATATTTTTCTTCATTTTTTTCTTTTAAATTGGTCCATCACTGCGCACGTGCGGCCTCCTTGTATATTATTACGTCATCTGACCCTTTCGGAGGGATCTTCAGGGAAGCCTCGCAGTGGAAGCTGTCGTTTTGTTAACAGCCTTAGCTAAGGCTCTTGACAAACGTCGGCTGCCGGTCTGAGGCTTCCAGGAGGCTTTTTTCCAAGTTCTGCTTACCAGCTTCTACAGCCCTTATAAGGGATTAAAAGGTTTTGTAACCTGTTTCTACCCTACCCATTTTATGAAAGAACGTGTTTTTCTTTTTATGTGTACGCTTTTGGTTTCCTTTTCAGGCAATCGCTCGTGTGCTATTCCACCTCTCGCACCAGGAGTAAACGTAGTGCGGCGGACTGCGGCGGAGATGAGATTTGCTTGCCAAAGCAACTTGGCACTCGAGGGTCCCGAACAGATACATTGCTCACGCACCGGAGAATGGGACGCTAAGCCACCGGTATGCGTCCAGCCTCAAAGTAAGCAAGCCGACTTCCAGTACGTTGATTTCGCAAGAATCGATTTTGTGATAGATCCCCTAACTACAGCTCTGAGCCTGTCAATCGACTAAGTGAGAAAGTTGACTTAGATGGCGTGTTATAATTGTCGTTATTTAGTTTTTCAAAAAATGATGTCCCCAGAGTCACCTTATGATGTTGCTTCAAGATCTCCCGCCTCAAGCATCGTATGAGTTCCTTTTGTTTTTCCCCCAACTACAGAGGAACTGACCTGTGATGTGAATAACTTGCTGAGCCGCGTACCTCCTAAAGTCGTCATCGAGGCAAATGCGTCGGAAGTTGCCGCAGGGACTGTGTATCATGCCTTCTGTAAGAACACCGGTCACATCTTCAATGGGCAGAGCAGAGTTTTCTGCAACACCGACGGCACGTGGAGTTTCGATGCAAGAATGAGTTGTAAGACCTCGCTGCTTTTATTATCACCTTCACTCGTTGAAGAAAGCCTGTGCTTCGAAGTTTTGGCGAATTCTTACTGTATTTTTTATTGCGATAATAACCGCGTTGACTTCAATGTCAAATTGCGACAACTTAGGTGAGTTCCAGCATGCAAGTCGAAGTCTATCAGCTACAATAAGGCTTTTGCAGAAAGAATTGTGTTTAATACGTACTTTTTCTTATTATTTAATCCTTTAAAACTATTTAATCCTTTTGAAATAGCAATTGTTATAATTTCATTTTTGATAACAGCTTAGGAAGAACGAGCAAAAAAGCCCCATCATATTTTAGAATATCGTTCAGTAGAATTCGAAGCGTCTGAATTGTGTGCATATATTAGACATCTCTTAACCATTATGTTAAGAATCGTTCATTCGGGCGCATATATTGATCCTTTTTCAACATGTTTACTTCGATAATTTTATTCCCATAGTTGACATAAAATAAATTAAAAGAGGTCCTTCAAAAAAAAATTAAAGATGTATACAATTTTCTGTAATACTAAATTAGAAAGCAGCTTTTGAGGAGGAGAAGGGGAGGGTACGGAGGGGAGAATATGCCCCGTTACCCCTCCCCTAATCTTCTCCTGCTCCCCTCCTCTTTACTGGGAAATTTTCGCTAAATTTCCCGCTAAATAGAGCGGTGAAGATATTAAGGGGAAGTTTAGCAAAAATTTCACCGCTAAGCGGGGAAATTCTTTCGCTAAATTTTGCAGGGAAATTTAACAAAAAATTTCCCGTTAAATTTAGCGGGAAATTTAGTGAAAATGTTGCGACTAAATTTAGAGGGTTAGGTTTACCTACTAAATTTAGCGGGGAAATTGACTTCACGTCACCTCAGCACCAATTCAGTTTCCTCGCTAAATTCAGCGAAAAAACTGTGACGTCCCATGATGCAACGCGGGCGGTTACGCTGACGCCGACGCCGCTCAATCCGGGAACGGGCGCCTAGGAGCTGCGTTCTAAAATTAAAACCTGTTTTATAAACATAATCTCCTTATAGGGCGCAGCTCTTAGGCGTCCGTTTCCGGGTTTCGCGGTGACGGCGTCGCTGCCTGCGTCGTTGTCGGCGTCGGCGTAACCGCGTAACCGCGCTAAATTTAGCGGGAAAATTGACGTCACATGACCTCGACACCGATTCAGTTTCCTCGCTAAATTGAGCGGGGAAAATAAAGTCATACGACTTAGTGTCACGTCACTTATGAACAAACGCAGTTTCTCCGCTACATTTAGCGGGAAAATTGATGTCACGTGACCTCAACAGCAATTCAATCCCCCCGCTAAATTTAGAGGGGAATTGAATTGCTGTTGAGGCCACGCGGCGTCGATTTGTCAGCTAAATTTAGCCGGGAGACTGTGGGAGGAGGGTAGGAAATAGAGAAGGAGGAGGAAAGTGTACGGAGGAGGGGGAGGGTCATACACTTCCCCTCCGTGCCCACGCACGTTAGTATTCGCTCACGAAAAATTAGTAAGGCTCAGAGTTATCATTCGTTATTAAACAACCTCTCCCTCCAGCGACCGAACTGTAAAAAAATACACGATAAATCCAGTTTTTTTTTTTTTTAAATAATTATATTATACACTTGAAGACATGTTTGGGCGAAGGATAATCTGCTCAGTCAGCCTCACTGAAGATGAGACAAACGATGCCTAACATTGAATCGTCGGACAAAAAACACACACACACCAAAGAAAGTAACGCTGCTTAATTTTGGTGTCCAAAACTGAACTCTTCACCAGAACAATTAACGAAACCGTCAATTCAGAAGAAAAAAAAAAGGTTCAGTTTTATTCAACAAGCTTTTGCTTCGTGGTCCCTTTAAGGGTTATTTTGATTAAACTTTGCATTTTCGTGCTCTATTTTTCAGGTGTAAAAGGTTGTCCCAACTTCGCGGACCAAGACGAAAGCCTCATTATAGAAGGTATCCTTCCTACGTACCAGCTTGGGGACAGTATCACCCTCAGCTGTCCAGGAGGAACTGAGCTGGACCCCCCCGTCGAGAGGATAACCTGCCTGGGAGACCGGTGGTCCGAGACCGAGCTTCCTCATTGTTTGGACAGGTTCCCTTTCAGATAATGAGTGAGAGCGAAAAAGAGACGAAATAAACATTTGCCTCTCTACTTGTACCACCAGACGGTATAAGAAGTTTAAACCATACAATAAATGAATAGGCGGCGGCCAATAGGTGATGATTTTATAAAGAAGCCTATTTGAAACAGAATAGCAGGGCAGACGGCGAAATCGCAGAGAACAGGTTTTAAGGCACATCAACGAGCATTTACTTTATATTTGACGACGCCGAGAGGAGCCAACTGGGATGCAGGGAGGAGCGAACTGGAAGATGAGGAATAGCAACAATCGAAAGATAAGAGGATGAAAAAGTTATTGGTACAATGGTTGACTATGTTAAGACCTAGAGTTCAAGTTTTAGGGGGGTTGAATTTAGTGAAATTTAGACTTTGTTATTAGCAGCAGTTGTTACGATGTGGGGGGAAGGTTACATCTTATATTTCATTAAAGCAGGGAACGTGGAGGAAACGAAGCAGATGAAGGAAACGAACAGAAACATCATAATGAACTCACAACATACTAATCCCACACCCCTTAAGTACTCCTCCACCTTATATACCCTACATATGAAAGGTATCCATTCGGCCGGTGATCAACCGAGTATTTCTTAAGTTTATCAGTAAGCTATCCCTTCCTCAGAACTCTGATCAATGATATACTGGGTTTCGACGTCATTGCACACTATCCCTTACTAAAACACATTGGTACAAGCAAGCATCATTTGGTGCAGTCGCTAAATACAAAAAAGCGATTCCTAGCCGGTATGTTATCACGTCTCTGCATAGCAGCACTCAGGAAAAGACGGGGCACGGTAGTTGCTCGCTTTCAGATATTTCATTCTTTTTTTTTTTTTGCGAAGTGATTCGTATAATAGGCTCAATGATGTCACCATAGTCATTGACAAAGCTAAAATGACATGGAGTGTTCTTCAAACGCCCGGCCTTCAGCACGCGCTCCGTGCCTTCCACCATGCTTTGACAGCTCGCGCGCGCTTGATGTGCACGAGACGTTGAAGCCTTTTCGAGGCGGAGAGTCAAGCTTGAGTGGAGACAAGTGAAGCTGATGCTCCCCGTTGTTCTCACCTTGTCAGTAACCTTAGGGTTATTATAATGCACGCCATGCTCTCAAAGGTGTCCAAAGTTTTGTATTCCATTTCTTGCGCAAATGAATCTGAGCAAATATGTCTTTTTCTGAGAGACCTAAATGCACTCATGGTTATTTGCAGCTGTGCCCTTGCTGGGTTTCTGAATGCTAAAGGGCGCAAACCAGGTGGTGCCAAACACTCAATGATAAAAACTTGTTTAAATCTCTGATGAAGAGACAAAAAAATGTCTGTCAAGTAACAAAACTCAAGTGCATGTCCAGTGACTAAGCTCAAAATAATGAATGGCAAAACTGATTTATATATCTAATGTCTAAACTTAAAGGGGGGTGCAACGATTTTCGGACTTCGGTCAAAGATTTCTGGAAGTTGCCCCCTGACACTTCTGAAGTAAAGAACAGAAAACCGATTTCGCCTGCGTGTCCTAGTTGTTGCGTAAAAAAAGATAACTATTGGCATTTCGGGCACCCCTCAACTCACTCCCAGTCTTCAGGGTCACACCTGGTCGCGCTCCCAGTGACGTCATTCGGAGTGCCGTGTAGCTTCCCGTGTGCTATCTCGGAGGACGCTTCCCCTCCCTCTCTCTGCGTACATTAGCGGGCGCTATGCTGCAGCTTAGAGCCGAGCGAGGTCACGTAATCTTTCCGCCGTAGTTCCTTCGGCTGCCGCTTGGGGCTGCAGGTGGGGGAAAAAGCTCGACTTTTGCTTGGCGATTATGCAGCAGAATCGCGACACTTTTAATGAAGGGGGTGTTTTCTCTATGCTCTGGGACACGATAAATATCGTAAAAATAACGAGATACAAATTTTTTTAATCGTAAAATTGTTGCACCGCCCCTTTAAAATAATCAATATAAAGCTTTTCATAATGAAACTCACTGGAAAATGTATATATATTAAGTTCATAATGAACAAGCTCAATTTACTTTTTAATTAGTGAATTCAAAAGAACACTGTATATATTGAGTTCTTAAGGACCAAACTCAATTGCATTCATAATGAGTAAATTCAATTTGATCGAAATTGAGTTTCTTATGACCCAAATCGATTGCTTTCCTCATGAGTGAATTTAATAGAATCGATATTGAGCTTTCTATGACCAAACTCAATTGCACTCCTAATGAGTAAATTCAAAATAATATATATATATATATATATATATATATATATATATATATATATATATATATATATATATATATATTGAATTCTTAATGAACACACTTAACTGCATTCCCAATGAGTAAATTCAATGGAAGCGATGTTGAGTTTTCTTTTTCTTTGACCAAAAGCGATTGATTGCCTTTGTAATGAACAAATTCGAGAGAATCAATATCGAGTGGCAAAACGGGACACCGACTTTTTGACGATGATCAATACGTGCGGTAACAAACGATTGTGGAATTATTATTTCTGTAGTTGAGGAATCTGGTAGTAGATCTTATGAAAAAGAGAAATGCGAGAGATTCGGCGACTATGTGCGAGACTTGGAAGCAGTAAGCTTTTTTTTTTTTTATGTGACACTTATAGTGTGATTATAATTGGCTAGTATAAAACGTCCGGACCTGTTCTAAGCTGCCTCAAGTGAGTCAGTGAGATAATTAGTATAGGAATATTGAGTTTAGATCGCACAAGCGTTTTATAGAGAAAAGGCTTTAATGATGAAGGAGTTAGGTAGAAGCTACGTTTGAGATAGCCAAGCATCTGATTACCATTGTTAGTCACGTAATTAAAGGGGCACTGACACGTCAAAATCTTTTTTTAGTATTATTTTATTCGAAACGATTAAAAACAATTCCTGGACATTACCCTCGAAAGTAGAAACTTGGGAATTCAGTGTATTGAAGAAAAAAAAACAATTTCCAAATGCCTAATTTGAAGTTCCCTTTGGGCAATATGTGAAAGCTACGGAAGCTACACTCGATTCGCCAAAATTAGAACCCGCGAATAATTTCAAATTTCCAGCTTTTGCCCGATTCGCGAAAACTTGAGCCCGCGAAAATTAAGTCGTTTACAATATATTTTTTTAATTGCTTCAAGCCAATATTCATGATGCTTATTACATAGCAATCCAAATACCGTGTGGTTTCTACGCAAAAATATTCCACCTTTCCATAAATATATCTTACTTCTCATGGAGAAGTACGATATAATAATGGAGAAGTCCACGTCAGCTGATGCCGCCCGTCGATTAGGCATCGCGTTTTGGAGTGTGAGGAGCCGCCCTCGGATACAAGGGGCACAGCGGGCCTGTTATGGCTACGCACTGGCGGCACCTCCGATTATCAACACGATGCCCGCCGTTTGCTCCCTTGCAGCTGAAAAGACGGATAAGGGGAAGCGGCAGTAAACTCTGTTCTTTCTTTGGACCTAATCGTGTCAGCTATCGTCGCCAGTGGCATGCTGTGCGGCGAAGAGGCGTTAAGAAGCGACGCCGGGTTGTGGTGCGAGAGTTCTACTTCAAAAATTGTTTTCTCGCTTTAAAGAAAAAAATACTCTGATCAAACTTTCATAATCAAAAGACAATCGATTGTTCTTTGAAACCACCATATTTTGTATTTTTACTTGGACGATCTAAGGGTGAAATAAATTGCTGTTTATGCGTTAAAACGCACTTTTGGGCAACTTCAGGATTTTTTTTTTACTGCGAGATATTTAATTGAGCGGTTTAGAAATTTTTTATAGATTATATACCTGCAGGGCAGCCGGTAAAAAGTTCTATTAGGTCCCCGAAGCAGTTAGATATTTTTAATAAAATAACAAAAATGTTAACATTTTCAGAAAAAAAAGTGTTTTTAGAAAAATATTTAATTTGAACAAAACTGCTCAAGCCCAACTACATTGCAAGTCGTAATCCGTGCAGATTGAAAAAAAGTATTGTTGGGTGTTTTATAAAAAAAAGCAGATTTTTCATAAATTATAGTGATACCTAGTTTCACGCCATTTCTAACATGAAAGACAACCATGAAATAATATGGTTGTCTTGCGCTTGTCCTCCGTGTTTTATTCTTTCAATTTTATGGATATCTAGTTTTACGCTATTCTTAAAGTTAAAACCGCGCTCACGCCATCAAAATTTTTTTTTCGTCAAAAATATTTTAAGGCACGGCTACGGACAATGCGGCAAAAGGCCAGGATATCAAAGGTGGTTGAGCACAACGTCTGGGACTTTTGACATGGAGTGACCCCACTTCGAACTCACATTTTAGATATTTCAAAAAGAAAGGCCGTAATGCGTTCGCAATTTCGTTAAAAAACATGTTTTACGAATGCCGTTATTAAATGTTATAGAAATGTCGCCTACAAAGCTTCCAAATTTCATAAGATTTGACGTCACAAATCAAAGAACTGAGGAGGTGAAAAGCGAAAAAAAAAGCTCCAAAAATAAAAAAGACTGCGCGCGTAAGCAACGAATTGGCGTAAGAGGACTTTTTTTTTTAATTGATTTTTTTTTATATGATTATAAAAGTGTTGTAAGTGTAGCGAGTTGGTATGATTACCTTTTGCGCGCTGTTCTGTTCACTATGACTACAACTTGCATCGTTTTAGACAGGAAAAATACTACCTTTGGGGCTTCAGCGTCCCTTTAACATGCAGCTGCCAGGAAAGATCGGCGCTTATAATCACGCCCAGATATTTGTACGAGTCTACAAGCGGTAAGTGTGCGTGATAAAGGTTATAAGTAGCAGAGAATTTAGCTTTATGTGGTATGCGCATCGTTTTGCATTTGGTAATATTAAGCTGCATTGACCAGTGTTCACACCACTGCAAAATCGAATCGAAATCATGTTGCAGTTTTTGTGAGTTGGCGTCGCTGGATATAACACGGAAATGTCACAATCATCAGAAGCGAGTTCGATTGAAGAAAAAAACACAAGTCATTAATATAGTCAGCCGGCAATGGC